TGATCAAGTGGGATTCATATCAGGGATGCAAGGATGGTTCAACATTAGAAAAACGATCAATGTTATCCACCATATAAGTAAAACGAAAAAAACCACATGATCATATTGATTGATGAAGAAAAGACATTTGACAAAATCCAACATCCATTCCTAATAAAAACACTCAACAAATTAGGAATTGAAGGGAAATTCCTCAACATAATTAAGTCAAGCGCATACCCCACCCCAAAAATTGTAACCAATGACTCAAACAGATACTAGTATACTGATATTCATTGCATTATCACTTACAATAGCCAAATGGTGGCAACAACCCAAACGTCTACACAAAGATGAATGTATACACAAAATGTGGTATTTGCTTAAAATGGAATATCACTCATCCATGAAGAAATAAAATTCTGATATACATTCCAACATGGATGAGCCTTGAAGAAAATTATGCTAAGTGAAATTAGCCAGACATAAAAGTACAAATATTGTATGATTTCATTTGTATGAAATATCTAGAACAGGCAAATGTATCAAGACAGAAAGAGGATTTAGGGGTTGCACAAGGCTTGGAGGAGGAAGAAGTGGGCAGTAACTTTAGAAAGTATACAGAGTTTCTGCTCTGGGTGATAAAAATCTTTGGAAATATGTAAAGGTAATAGTTGCACAACATTGTGAATATACTAACTGCCACAAAACTGAAAACTTAAAAATGATTGTTGCTAAGTGTCGTGGAGTCATTTCTGACCCATAGCGACCCTGTATAGGGTTTCTGAGGAGCAGCTGGTGAACTTGAACTGTCAACCTTGCGGTTCAAACCAATTTTGCAGTTCATCGCATTAACCCACAATGCCACACCAGTACTTCCTAAAAATGATTAGGATGCCATATTTTATATTACATATTTTTTACCACAATAAATTGTTCAAAGGGATAAAAAAAGAGGAGGAACTAGGAAATACCCTTTGACCCCTCTTTGTCCTTTCCTCTATTCTACTGCCTGGATTATGGTTGAAATTCTATCCAGCATCTTTGCCCATCCTCAAAGGAGCCTAGTTCTCTAACAATTTTACAGAGTCATCTGAACCACCTAACTGATACAAATAAGAAAGACTGAACTTATATTGTTTCAGCCAGGGTTTGGCAAACTCTTTTCTATAAAGAGCCAGATAGAAATATTTTAGACTTTAAAGACTATACAGTCTCTGTCAAAACTATCCAACCCTGCCATTGCATCACAAAAGCAGCAATAGGCAATATATAAGCAATTGAACATGGCTGTGTTCCAAATAAACTTTTAACAAAATTGCCAGTGGGCCAAATGTAGCCCACAAGCCAGCTTGCCAAATCCTGGTTTAAACCACTGTTACTTTAGGGTTTTTGAAGAGGCTTGCAAACATAATCTTAGTTGATACAGCATCAAAAATTAGATGAAATCACAACAACTCTTAAGCAAATTGTCTTTTTAAATATATAATTCCATATACCTATTCAATTATAAGGAACCCTGATAGTATTGTGAGTTAGGCATTGGGCTGCTAACCCCAAAGTCAGTCGGTCAAACTCACCAGTTACTCCATGGGAGAAAGATGAATCTGTCTGCTCCCATAAAGATTTACAGTCTCAGAAACTCTATGTAGGGTTGTTATGAGTCAGAATTAATTCAATGGCAGTAGGTTCAGTTTGGTTTTACCTCATATTATGGTAAAAATACAGAACACCAAATATAAAGACAAAATCTCTAATTTGAGCTTCCCCTCTCCTGAACACTCTATGAATGGATCTAAATCAAGTCAAAAATGTAGTATTAGTTTACATGAAATGGGCTTGTGGAAAGGAGAATGGACATGAGAATAAAGCTTTTGCTGTGCTTTATGAAGTTAAACCTTTAATCCTAGTTGGTGTTAAGTACTGTTGAGTTAGTTCTGATTCATAGCGAACCTATACACAACAGACCAAAACACTACCAGGTCCTGAGCCTCCCTCACGATTGTTGTTATGTTTGAGCCCACTGCTGCAGTCACTGTGTTAATTCATCTCACTGGGGACTTTCCTTTATTTCACCTTTATTTTACCAAGAATGATGTCCTTTCCAGGGACTGGTCCCTCCTGATAACAAGTCTAAGCCTGACAGACAAGTGGGGCTAATTCTACTAGAGATGGTTTAATATCTTTGAAGGCTCTTTGGAGATCCTCTACCAGCTCTTTTACAGTTCTCTTCTTTGTTTTGTGTAAATGCTTTTCAATGACTTGGAACAGCCTCCCACTTGAATGGAGTCCAGCTACCATGGAAACCAGGGCCAAGAATAGAGGAAAGAAGACCACTTAGACCTTAGACCTGTTGGCTCTGGGCATAAGGAGATACCAGGCGACCTATCCCCAAGTTCACCAAAGTTATGGTGCTCTTCCTAGGGCTTTGGAGTCTAAAACTAAACAAAGGGAATTTTCCTTTGCCTGGACTTATTTTTATACTGAGGAGAGGCAAGGAATTAAGTTGACAATGGAGGTGGCAGGACCTAGTTGTATACAATTCTGTTAGGGGAATTTTAGGTTCCCACTAAATATGTGAAAACTGGACAGTGAATAAGGAAGACTGTAGAAGAATTGATGCTTTTGAGTTATGGTGTTGGAGGAGAATATTGAAAGTGCCATGGACTGCCAAAAGAACCAATAGATCTGTTTTGGAAGAAGTGCAGCCAGAGTGCTCCTTGGAGGCCAAGATGGCCAAACTTTGTCTTTCATACTTCAGACATATTGTCAGGAGGGACCAGTCACTGAGGATATCATGTTTGGTAAGGTGGAGGGTCAGAGAAAAAGAGGAAGACCCCCAACAAGATGGATTGGCCAAGTGGCAGCAACAATGGACTCAAGCGTGGCAACAGTAGTGAGGTTGGCCCAGGATCGGGCAGTATTTCGTTCTGCTGTGCGTAGGATCGCTATGGTTCGGTACCAACTCGATGGCACCTAACAACAAAAACTAAATACTATCATCCCACTTTGCATTTTGTTTCTTACTTTTAAGCAGTTCAGGTTTCATTGTCTCCTTTCCCCAACTTCTCCCCACCCCAGTCCATTTTAGCCACGTACTTCAAAAAGTTAAAGCAAATGGAACCATTTATAATGTAATTCAATGTTATCAATAAGAGGGATAGTCTTTTGGCATAAATTTAAAAGATATGCCAGCAAGATACATATAGCCCTCACAACAACAAGACTGAGCCCTAGTAGCATAGTGAATTATGAGCTGGACAGCTAACTGAAAAGTGAATAGTTAAAATCTACCAGTCACTCTGAGGGAGAAAAATAAGGCTTTCTGTTCCTGTAAAGATTTACAGCCTGGGAAACCCTACACGGGGTTGCTGTAAGTCAGAACCAACTTGGAGACCTACAATCACCACCACCACCACCCACCAGTGAGAGTAGATCACCTGCACAACTTTCTTCTTTCTCAGGATGCTAAGACTGTTAACATCAGAAGGAGTAGTGGGCTTTATAAGTGTGCAGAGAATGAATTTTAAAAACTAAGTAATTGTGGAGGCAGTGAAGATACAAGGGAGATAGGCATACTGCTCTTCATCTCTAGAAAATGGCGAAATAGGGGCACTTTGCAAGGACTTTTTCGTGATCTGGAAGATGCACATGAATAAGTTAATTAGACATGGGCCATCCTCCTGATACTACAAAGATTAGATTCTATTTCTTGATCCTTTAATAAATAACTGATCTTGTATCCTTATTGCTCAATGTTCATTTATGTGTGCATGTGTGTGTGCGTATGTGTACTCTACCAGAAGTATGTGGACTACTCATTGCCCCTACTCCTTGGAAACACTCACACTCCCTCAACATCAGCAACAGAAGACACAAAATAAACCACCTCACCAGTTAACCAACAAAGGGTTTTTGGTTCCTGTTTTGCACATGCTCCAAAATAAGGGGCAACATGATTGGATAATATACCATTTAATTTTCTTCAACTCTAAGTCAGTTACACAAATTAGGAGAATGTAAAATGCTTGTTTTAGGATGATATTAATCATGGATGCTAGGAAGGGAAAGAAATAACTATCAGAATTAAAATACTTATAAATAAGGCTTATATTCAGCATTCTTGTCTATATCATTGGTAACTGGTACACTCTGAGTGTTATGTTATTAGTAAGGTATCACAACTTTTTCCCATCTCATCACAATCTAAGATAAATCTTGAAGGGTTGTAAAATACTAGTATCTACTATCTCTGTAAATTATATATTTACATTTGATTAATATAAACCTCTTTAAACCAAAAATGCTCACCACTGATGTCACAGTATTTAAGAGCTTCATTGAATTCCTCCTCAGTTAGATTAATATTCAAACTTTTCAGGGCATGCTCCAAGTTAGGTATACTAATTCTGCCATTATCAACAAGTGACAAGATGCGTGCAGTTTCTTTAAGCTCTACAAGGAGAAATAATATAGTTGACATTATGGTGGGAAAAGAATGTAAAAAATGTTTTGTTCAATGTTTCCTACAGTTAAACCTTCAAATCAAATATTTATCTGAATCAAAATCTCTGTAAAAAAGAAAGATATTTTCTATTTACAACAGAATCTCTACTAATTTCAAGCAATATTTTAATAAAGAAAATGTCATGGCAAAGAGAATGTGATGGGCCATTGGTAAGTATTGTAATAAGATTTCATCTGAATGATTTCATCCATTAAAAATTAGCTATAAGCTTTTTAAATAATAGTTATACCCTTTACAAATTGTTGTTAACTGCCTTCAAGATGATTCCAACTCATTGCAACCAATGTAGGGTTTCTGAAGCTTTTTTTGCTGGAGCAAAAAAAATCTCATCTTTCTTCTGTGGAGCAGCTGGTGGGTTAAAACCACCAACCTTATGGATCACAGTCCGGTGTTTATCTACAAAGCCACCTTTACACATAGAAGGTTTAGATTTTTTAATCAATTGATGACAAGAACAGTTAAAGGTTAAATTTGGGCCTTTGTGAATCTACATCATACTTTTATGTGAAAGACACTCCTCTGAGCAGCTGCAATGCACCATGGGGTTCAAGATGTAGAAAGCACAGTGGAATACAGGCTTTATTACAAGCTTCACTTATACTTTCTCCATCACGCACATTTGTGCAAGGCACAACCCATACAAATTAGTAGGGCAGCTCTGATGATCCCAGATCAGTTTAAAATATAAGAAATCATCATCATCACATTTTTCAATGTTTTATCTACATCATTTCCCACTCTGTTTCTCCTTCAACTCCAAAATTTTCCGTATTTTGAAAACTGATACATTATACCAGCAGATTTGAACCTTCATGGAGGTCACTTGGAAAGAACATTATAATACCATCAAATGTACATTGATTCTACTAGTACAAGCATTGACTTTGCAGTTACTAAGACCAATGATAAAACATACAGTGCCTTTCATCAAAAAGTTTCCTGTAAATTCATTGAGGTCAGTGACTTAATCTGTCAACTCTGTAACCAAATTTATAACATGAGGGGACTTCAAAAAATTTGTGGAAAAATGGAATTAAAAGATAATGGAACACACTTGAGGGGGAGAGGGAGGAATAGCCAGAAATATCACCATAGAAAGCTTGTAAGTCCGTCTTCTGCCTATAACTGATTGGAATACCTAAAATGGGGCCACAATGTGCCC